GAGGCTTGCTCAATAAATTGTTTACTTAGGAGATAGCATTCCACTTATTTATCCTTCAATTTTTAATCATCTTCACATTCATTCATTCTTCAATACTGGCAACCTTTTGGGAAACACTAACACACTAGAGATTCTTGGATACTTTTAACACCATGAAATTGTAAGGCTAAACTTTCTGTTAGTACAGCTTGTGGTCACAGAACTGTTAGAACATAAAAAAATAAAAGCATTTATAAGTTCCTAAAAAACACATCTGACATGATACTCATTTTGAAAATCATTTAATATTCATTATTTATAATGTTTTTTAATAAAGAAACAAAAGATAGTCATCCAAATGTTAGTATAAGTTAAGATGAAGTTTTTCTTTTTCATTTATTATTTAAAATCAACTTTTCTAAAGGCAAGATAACACATCTGATATAGATTTAAGCAAAAAAGGTATCATTAAACAAAAAGTTATTCAAGTAAAAAATCCAAGCTGGCCACAACAAACACAAATAATATTTGAACATCACACATACTAAAAGATGAATGATTTTTTTTAACAGCAATGGACAATGTACAAAGTTATAAGCACATGACAAAAACTGTACAAAATGGCTACCAACCAATATAAAGCCTGATAAGGATTGTGCACTTAGAACTGTGTTGGTCATCAATATTTTGAAATAGAAAAGTAATACTGCAAATAAATAATAATAATAACTACAAAACATCATAATGTTCATGCGTAATACGTTAATCATGTTATAACCACACATAGATTCATATTAATCAGTCCCGTTAACTGGATTTAAGAGCCAGAAAAAAACTTTTGTGGCAGTGGGTTCTGCTGGCTAGCTGCTTTCCTACTATTTAGTAGATCAAAATTGGGGATTGTTATAATCTAGTCCTAGCTCGTGTGCACAAGGCCCTGTTAAGGTTAAAAATTCCAGTTCTATTTCTGATCATAAGGTCCTGTTAAGATTAAAAATTCCAGTTCTATTTCTGATCATAAGGTCCTGTTAAGATTAAAAATTCCAGTTCTATTTCTGATTAAAAATTCCAGTTCTATTTCTGATCATAAGGTCCTGTTAGGGTTAAAAATTCCACATCTGTTTCTGATAATAATGGTGAGTGAAGTAATAAGTCAAACACGCCAGTTTAATAACATGAAAGTGAGGAGTGTATTCATTGAGACATCACATCTCCAATCTTGAGCCCATCAATTATTAGCCCACCAGTCTAAACATTAGGCCATATTGAGCCTTTTATAATCAGATTTGTTACTGCCTTCAGGCAGAGGCAAGAAACGAGACATAATTTTTCAAAATACTTTTATCTGCCAAAAACCCCATTTCACCAAAAAATATTTTCCATATGTTTCCAGAATGCTTAAATGAATTTGAAAAATAATTTCACAGTTTTTCTTAAAACTTCTAGTATAAAGTTGGCAATCAAGAGATATAACATTGTACTTAAAACTACAAATGCCCAACATCAATACCATAAATGACTTTTGGGCATATTGTTAACAGTGTAACTTGCTGCAAGATATTTTTCAATGACTTTGCACAGTTTTTTCAATAATCTATACTAATAAAACAGCATGTGTGTTAGTCAGTCAGCGCCATAGCTCCAAAAGGAAAGAATCTATAGACCTGAAACTTTGCATACATACTAAAGGAATTCTGAGGGTGTGCACCTGAGTATTATTTTTTCTTGAAAAAATTTTGGCCAATAATTTTGCCCTATAGGCCTTAAGCCATAATAATGACTTTTATTTAAAAGCATTTAAAAAAAATTGAAGTAGATACAAGTGATGATAAAACTTTCTTGAAATCATTTCTGAATGAGTAATACAACTGTGAGTTTTACCAGAAAGTGAGAAGAGAGGATACACCTACTCAGCAAGATTATCACGAAAGGTAAGCGATATTTTCCATCATGCTTAACTAGCCCTAATAAATGTTGTTTAAGAGTCATAACATAGGCAACTTGATATGCAGAATTATACATGGACTTTTATCTACACTAAAACATTTTTATCCACGTGCTTTCGGCCCTCTTTCCGGGACCTTCATCGGACAACAATGTACTGAGCGATAAAAATTCAATATAATAAACATAAGGAAAATACAATTATTTATGTTATTTAGAGAAAAAATAAAGGAATTTTTTATACTTCAAATAATACACATAGGTACTGTGTTTGTGTAAGTTTCTAAATATTATCTTTGATTTTAAATTACAAAGTAAGTTGAGTAGTTTGGTTAGCCGAGAGAGTGATTGATTATACCAATTAAATATAGGGCTGAACAAGAGTTTAGGTTTTCTGTACAACATTTTTTAAGAACCTATTGTTACAAAACTGTTATTGTTATACATTTTTTTAAAGGAAACCACACAGAAAGTGTTAGTAATTCATATTATTGTTTCCACCAATAATATAAAACAATAACAGTTTTGTAACAACAGGTTTTTTAAAAAAACATGCATAAAAAAGTGTTAGAATTTATATTATTGGCAGAAATGATTATATTTAAATATTTGTTCGTACTATTTTTATATTCATATAATGCTTGAAAACGGTATGTATTTCTTTTCAGTATTAGTACATTTATGCATTTGACATGTATTGTTACATGAAAAGTGAAATTTTGATCCTTCCTGTTTAAAAATAGCTAAACACGGCACTCTGTTCTTACAAAATTCTTATCTTGTGCTAGAATTGGCAAGCAATTTAACAGCTAGACATTTGAAATGACTATTTTTTAAATAATTTTTTCATAAAAAGTTTGAGAAGGTTTAAATGTATATATTTTTCTCCTTTCCCGGGATAAATGTCAGTTGATGAGCGAGTACTAAGGGCAGCACTAGATAATACCTGGCAGTATCGTTATCAAAATATGGTAGGGGTTAGAAAAACACTGGTTGAAGTATTATATTACTAGCCATCCTTACTCGGTGTTTTATGGGTATTACCTCTACATACTCACAATATTGATTTGTTTAATTCAACATGCTTGTATCATGCCAAGTTCTATTTATAATCTCAACAACTACAAAAGCTTTAATCATTACAGTTTAAGTAAAGAAATATGAATGCCATTTAAAGTGAACCTGAAGCAACTCTAGTTTAATATACATTTATTTTATTCATGTCACTAGATTTTTAAATGATTCCTATATAAGGCTATAATTTAAGTTTTCCAACCAGCCTCCAGACGTAATGACTACTGATGTGGTTTCAGCCTGCCTAACATAACATCAAGACTAAGCTATCAAAATATCATTGTTATATACAATTGACACTAAAACCATCTATGCTCTAACACTTTAAGTATATCTTAATAGTGCTTTGGAGTTTACCTCAGACATACTTGTATAAAGTAAATACATCATTTACTTGGCTGGCACGGTACAAACATATATAAGTTTACTAACATTTACTTATGGTCTAGTCCCCTTTGTACAGAGCTTTCTGATTGGTTTACGGCATATACTGTGCAACCTAAGCTAATGATACCTAGAAGACCAATGAATAGATGAAATGACCCAGGTAACAATACATTTTGTACAACGTATTGCACTACAGTTACATATATCACAGTATATCGTAATATATATCCTTTGGTAATATCCACAACTCATTATCAGCATACCTTTTCATTAGATAATTCAATCAGCTGCTTTTTAGCTTTGTCCACATCTTCTTTTGGACCTCTCAAGTTCACTTTATCACTTCCAGAGCCCTCTGGAGGAAATCGAATAGTAACTTTTCCACATTCGTCCATGATAGAGCGAATCAACTGTCCCTTGGCACCAATGATGGAGTTGTGGAACTTGGCTGGGATGATAATATCCACTTCAACGATATTGCCCTAAACAAAAAAGATCGGTGCAAATTGCAAACATGATAACAAAAACAAATCAGTTTAAACATTTCATCTTTTATCTCAAACTACTTAGGTAATGTTTTTATATTATATTTTTTGTACATTGAGCAATTTTTATTCTTTATGAAACACAAAGTTTTGAATACTTAAAAATAACTCAGAAATATAGAATATGCCGAGGTAAATACAGCAAATGAAACTTTTGGCTGGTTCTGGGTTTCAACCCATAAAGTCCAAAGGTTCAGAGACCACCTAAGACCCTAGAAGATGTGTGTGTGCTTGATGCTTGGCCATTTTGAGGCACATTATTTACTGCAAGAATGATCAGTAAATATTGGCCTTAATACACTTTAACTCAGATGCGAATGATCAAATTTACAATCCAGTTAACATAAAAGCTGGTCATTTCATGAAATATTAAGGCAATACTTCTACAGATCAGTTTCTACTAAGACAAATTACAGACAGGGCATTTACAAACTAAGTCTTTTAAAAGACAGATATGGAATATTATGTATATTCATGCATGAACCTCTGCCTATCACACTATACGTCTTTCTTCGATTCTAAAGCAAATTCATATATCGTAATTATTAAATAAAGGGTGGAGGTAGGAAGTCTTGTAGAAATAAAGGGTGATCTGTTCCTACTATGAGAATATTTTTGCCTTTTTGTATATCTCATGAAAATGGTGGAGGTTGGGAGTTTTACACTGTAGAAATTCAGGGTGGTTTATTTCTACTTTAGATTTGTATCTAAATATTAAGGATAACTGCCTTCCCACAACTGGCTACAGACAGCGAAAAGCAGTAGAAGTTGGGACATTGTGGGTTCAATCAATCAATTCCTAACCCTTAACTAATTTGCCTTAATTGTTGGCATCTGTATACTGTCTGATAGATGGAATATCCCTAATGCATTTGGGTGCTACGGCAACAGAATTATCCATTATGAGTTTTAATGATGACAACAAGGACCGATAATGGAAAAATTAATTTTAATTTCCGAGTATCTTTGTAATGTTTTTGATTTATATTAAATTCATCATTACTGTTTTATAGTGCTGATTAAAAAAATTGCCTAGTTACAATTAATATATCGGACAGCTTTAGAACTATTGATTTATGTATATTCTATACATGTCTAATGGACACATTTATAGCCAATTGAAGGAGCAGGTTCTCTTTCTCCTACAAAGCTTATTACAGTTGTTTCTTTTTTGACAAGCGTACTTGAACCCTAAGCAGCTAACAATTTTTTTTAACCTTGTCATAGCCTAGTTCAAAATCTAGGTAAATAACAGTAGTTTTAGGACATTCTATTCTAGTGACTGATATATTTTTTGTATTATAAAATGCATATTTGAAAGCTAAATTGATTCTTTTTTAGACACCCAAACACGATACTCAACAAGGGTTACCAAAAAATATTTACCCAAGTGAAAACAACAAACAAAAACTGATTTTGTATGTGTACTAAACATAGTTTTTTCATATATATATATATATATATATATTATTTATTGTTAACAGAAGCAACCAAGTTCTAAAAATTTCAAATTTACTCAGTTAGGTAACAAAACTTTAAATTTTAAATTTCATGACCTCAATCAACTGGTAGTGCAAGCTCACATGATTGTAGCTTGATTGCTTGTTTACCCTAAGATCCAAGGAAATAATATAAATGGGCTACCACTGATATATTACTTTTCACATACAGTAGGGACCAAATATACTGTAATAAACTATGAAATAAAAACAAAATAGATGTGAAAAGGTTAGAAGCTGAGACTGTTACAATAAATAACTGTAATGGTCTGTTACTTGTTTGTTTGTTTATTTTTTGAATTTCGCGCAAAGCTATACGAGGGCCATCTGCACTGGCTGTCCCTAATTTAGCAGTGTAAGACTAGAGGGAAGGCAGCTAGTCATCACCACCCACTGCCAACTCTTGGGCTACTCTTTTTACCAACGTATAGTAGGATTGACCGTCACATTATAATGCCCCCACGGCTGAAAGGGCGAGCATGTTTGGTGTGGTGGGGATTCAAATCCGCAACCAGCAGATTGCAGGTCGAGCGCCCTAACCACCTGGCCATGCCGGGCCTGGTCTGTTACAACTCGTTGTCATTTTATAATTAAAAAAAAATGGTATTCTTCATTTTATTTCATATTTTTGAAACTGTTTATTTCATTGTACTTTGATAATTTTACTATAGTTAGTGTTAAGGTTAAGTTTTACTTAAAAAACAAAATTATATTTATAATTTACAGACAACTCTTTAGTAAAAATACTTCATTAAACAATCTGATTTTTTGTGGACAAAATACATTAATGTATATTAACATCTTGCCAAATTTGATTAAGATACACTTGGTACATTCAGAGTTAATGTCATGTAGTTTCATGGTTACAGGATCGGTCAAACTGACTAGTCCATATAGAGATAGTTAATAATATATGTTAACTATGAATGTATAATTTAAGAAATCCATATTTTAATACAAAAACCAGATTCTTTGGATAACTACAAACATTTAATTAATTTGCTGAAGAGTTTAAGCCATCATGATGATGAAATTCCATAAATTTCTTTGTTTAAATATTCATGTCAAATTGTAGAAGAGCTATCTGCATCACTAATTTGGAATTTGGAGTATAGAGAATGTGGCTACTCAACAGCTTCTATTGCCGACTCTTCAACTTCTATAAGCAAGTAGTGATATTACCATCTCTCTCGTGTATCGATAGTGCCAAGTATGATTTTGCACCAACAGTATATGAACCACAAACACTCGTGTTCCCAATCTGTCGTGACGACCATTTGGCCAATATTCTTAAAGAAATATTAGTCTTTGGTCTCAACAGGCCATTTAATAAATTAAAAGAAAAATCTTTTAGTTACATAATCAGAGTGAAATATCATATAAACCTACTTTTGTTCTCTAACCCTTAAACTGTAGATGGCACTGTACAGACCACCTCTGGTATTGCGTTAATAAAAACAGCTCAAGAAATTCACTATATTTGAAATACACAGAGGTAATAACTAAGGAACCTTTTAAAATATATAATTTTTTTTTGTCAATATATGATCAAGGAATTTTACAACTTTACAATCTAGTGTTAACTACACAAGGATGCTCTACTGCAAATACAATACAGGAAAGAAACTCTATTTTCAAACAACAAATTACGATTTTATTAGTTTCAGTAGCTTGAAAACTGTAAAATAGAATATGTAGACAGATTATTTCAGTCCTTGACATCACCAGCTTCAAAGATTTACCATTTCCAACTATTTGTGCTAACAATAAGTGTAAAATGTGTGCAATATTTACAGATTTGTGGCTTTGTTTTATGTTCTAAGTTTAAGTTGTATGTGTACAATATGTGGGAAATTTAATGATTTCTACTATCTCAATAACATTTACAATGGAGACAAAAATCAAAAGTTAGGACAATAGTGTCCTTTTTTTGTATTATTTTATACAAAACAATAGTAAATAAAAAATCAAAAATTCAAAATCTCAACATTTCATCTATAATTTTAGTTTGGAGGTAATTTGAGGGAATAGATAAGATAACACAGAATTTTCAAAAACTTGATTTTGACATTTTGCATATAAAAATCTAAGATATTAAGTTAAAAAGGGTTAAATTGAACTATTAAAAGTTTAGAATGATAAATTTTTCATCTCGTATCCATTTCAAAGGTAATCAGTGCCAATTATCATTTATCAATTGGATCAGATGAATAATCAGAATTTCAGCCAATTAGCTGTGGATTAACTTGCACAGTTCTAGCACTTATTACTTAATCATAATGTTAAACAAGTTTCTTTATAGGCAGTCTAAATTCCAGTGCAAATCATCCCATAAAAATATAATACATTCATTCATTTTCCATTGTAAATAACAAATCAGCCTTAAAACAAAAGAATCTCAAAATCCCAACAGTTTGTTCTGAAGAGCAAAGATACCCTAAAATACCACCAGTTTGTTCTGAAGAGCAAAGATACCCTAAAATACCACCAGTTTGTTCTGAAGAGCAAAGATACCCTAAAATACCACCAGTTTGTTCTGAAGAGCAAAGATACCCTAAAATACCACCAGTTTGTTCTGAAGAGCAAAGATACCCTAAAATACCACCAGTTTGTTCTGAAGAGCAAAGATACCCTAAAATCTCACCAGTTCATTTTGAAGAGCAAGTATACGTTCTTTCGCAGCAAGAGCATTTTCCATTTTACCGGTGATAATAATAGTATCGGAGTCACTGTTCTCAGGTGGTAGTTCAATTTTAGTTTCCGTTTCTGTCTGAATCTAAAGAAAAAAAATATTACAAACAAAGACATATAAAATGCATTTCATAGATCATCTAAACTTCCCAAATATATAATAAACAAGTAAGGATTACTCAATTTCTGCATGATAAAAACTTTTCCTGCAGTGTCCATCTTATATAAAATATTATAGCTAAGACAAGATTTAAACGATCTGGATTTATCATTACATTTTAACATAAAAAAACACTATGTTCAGACAGTGTTATGTAAAGATGGAATCCATCTGGGTTACGGTAAAGGAAGTTTAAACAGTTTAACAACTATTTTTTCAAAGAACTATTAAACCTATGAAATGCACCACCATAACAAGTTAGTACAAAATAATACAGCATGACCACAACACAGAGCATATACTAAATTTAGATTGCAAAAAAAACAAATAAGTTTAACAAATAAAACCTGTTATTTACAAAAATCATAGTTTAAGAATGGAATATGAACATTTATTATCACAATACTTTGTTGTTCTTTCTTTACAATACCATTTGCAGTGCAGCTTAAACTATCCTGACAGGCTTCCCTGAAACATGAATTAATCTGAAGTTTAGTTTTTTTTTACAGCTGACACAATTGAGCTACTACAGAAGAAACTCGATTATGAGCTACTGCAGTAGAACCTCAATTAACGAGCACCTTGAAACAACTAGCACCAAGCCATTAAGGGCAGACCTTTTCAGTCTCTTTTGTTTTTCTCTACGGTTTGTAACCCAAATAACTTTTGCAACAATGGGCACTTCGATATTCCAGATTAATGGCAGTGTCTGTAGATTTGTTCTCTACACAGGCACTCAATAAAGTGGGCAGTGGGCAGGTTAAAATGCTTATTTCAGGATATTTTAAAGTATTATTTTAAAAGTTTTATTAAATAACTTCACTATTTATCATACCGCTTTAAGTACTCAAAATCTTTGTTTATCAAAAAATTGTTTATTTATTCTTCTAGGTTTTAATAAAAATAACTAAAATTTAAGCATATGTGAATAGAGAGTAGTTATTAGTTGATAAATAAGTTTGTTGTTCAATGGGAAATAGGATTTTACGACTACGTCCACAAATATCTTTGTACACCTGTATGGTATACTCGTATAAACATACCACTAAGTTCCAAACATCCCAGAAGGATGACCAATAGTCAAACATTTGTGATTTTTATTGGATTGGCTATGATTCATATACTGTAATAAATGTTTTCACAGATTCAAAGTGCCATCTTATTACTCTGGGGAATTCTCATTGTAAACACTGTAGGATACATAAGCTGATAAATTCCACACTGTGTTCTCGGAGTAGAGGTTGAATGAGCTTATTTCTATATGTAAACAGTGTTTTTTGTGTATACTGTAAAAACACTTAAGTAAATGGAACAAAGAAATCTATGTTTTTTAAATTTATTTCTATTTCATAGGTAAGCAAATATGTGTTAATTTAAAAAGTTACCATGCATTTGGGTCATTAGCAGTGGAAATCATTGCTTGTGTTATTAGACTGTTTACATGACACTGTAATACAATATTCTTGAGAGTAACAAAGCATGCTCATATGTAACAAAAATGGCTTTAAATGCACACACCAAACACAGTTGGGGGGGGGCTTAAAATTAAGAAATTCTGTACGGTCAATATGGAATCCAGTTTGAATGGAGAGGGCATTTGGACATGGTTGGAAGGGTGCTCTTAATATAATAGTTTTACTGTAATTACATTTTTTTAATGTGTGTTTACATAAAATGATGTGTACAACTTACTTTTCGAATACCGGTCCTTCCTTGGCTAATTATATACTTCAAAAACTGTCTGTACACTGAGAGCTCTATGCGGTGATTGTTTATAAGAAGGTCTCGTTTCAGCTGAGCAAGATATCGGTAACAGTTTTCCACATCTTCTTTAGGACCTCTAATAGTAACTTTGTCACTTTTAATCCCTTGCTCGGGGAAATTGACATTCACCTACAAAATTACAATCAATAGTATCAGCGACAAAACATATTTACTGAAAAATAACGTTTTATAATTACTTAGATGATCACACAAATGAAATTTGAAAATTTTTCAGATGAATAAAAACATTTTTAAAAATCACTTTGCACTCAGACTAGTAAATAAAACAACTCAATATATTCACACACACATATCTTTACTAAAAATACTTAATTTTGTGTACTAGTCATGTAATGTTTACTGAAAGTCTGCCAAATTTTGTGAAGATACACGTACTGTGTTAAAAGTTATGGTATGGAAATTGTAATGAGTACAGAATGGTTACAAACTTGGTCAACTGAACAAGCCTTGCGGAAAGATATAAGCTGATCATTATATGAACTTTATTATCCAATAAAAGCAAATACATCTGATATAGTTATACCAAAAGATGACAAAGAAAATGAGTTATAAAATCATATTGGAAAAATTAATGACCGTAAGTACAAAGAGGTGTATGTATAGGAATAAATTCTATAATAAATTTACATCTGTTTTGAAATTGAAAAAAATGCAGAAATATTTTCAAGCCAAATTATCATATTTAGGTGATATAGCTTAAGCAGTATTTGTCTTTTTAAAACGATATTTATGTTTATTACAAACCAAAATCATCTAACAAAACAGACTTAAAATAAGACCCAAACTCGAGCACTTTTGAATAGTTGACTATTATTCTTTGTTCTCCTGAAGAAGAATAGTCAACTATTCAAAAGCGCTCGAGTTTTGAATCTTATTCGAAGTCAATTACACTTTACGTGTGATCCTTTATGCTAACTCTTTTATCAAAAAAATCTAACAAAACAGCTCACTCTTTTAAGATACATAGCATTAAATGTCTTATATTCAAACCATCTCTTAAGTACACTGCTTAAGAAAGCAACTGAAATTATTTACTTTCTAACTGTCTCAAACATTAACAACAGTAAAATCAGGATGATATAGCATTATCACAAACAAGCCAACCTTAACACGTGATTATTAAATACTACAGTGCTTATTTCTATGTTCTGTGCATCAATTGCACAAATTTTTCTACAATCTAGTCATTTTATTATAAGACTAAAGAAAATATTCTATGTACTTTTAATATAATATTTACATTTTAACATTTGTGGCCTTTTATTTTCCAATTCCTATCAGTAATCCAGTACTCTGAGACAGAAAATTATTGGAGTTTGGTTGTTGAATTTCATGTAAAGGTACTCGAGGGCTAACTATGCAAGCCATCCCTAATTATGAAGTGATAGACCAGATGAAAGACAGCTAGTCAACACAACCAATCACCAACTCTTGTGGCGCTCTTTACCAATGAATTGTGGTATTTTCTATATTATAACACCCCCAGGGTAAGCATGTTAAGCAATAGGTTTCAATCACACAACCAAAATGTACAAATCAAGTGCCCTGACCACCAGGCCATGCCTCACCCAAAATTAGTTGGGAATATGCCCAAAAGGAAAAATGCATGTATAGTTGAGTGCATGTACATATTGCAGAAAGGCATTCTGGCAGATACCCTCGTAGTATAAAGATGAGAAGCCCAAAACATTACTCTGAAAAAAAAACTTTATTAATTTGTTTGGATATGTGTATTCATGAGAACAATGGTACGACAAGCTTCAGTATAGCACTGACTGGAAAAAATTGTAAAGTATATTCTGAACCTGTTTCTTTTAAACTATAGTTGAGTGAGCTTTATTACAACTGTTAAACAATTGAAAGAGAAACAAAAACAGACTCAAGATCAATTAAAGACTCTTCAAGACAAACTAATAAAACATACTGGTGCTACTACAGTTTACCTGGTTAAACCGGTCACGAATATCTTTGATGCTTTCTCCTTTAGTACCAATAATGTTGCCATGGAATCTCTGCTCGATTATTAACTCCTTAGTTGTTTCGTTTTCCTGGGGAACAAAGTGTAAAATACTGAGTTGTTCCAAATGTTGACATTGATGCTTTTTATTTATTAAAGTAGCATCATTAATACAACAATTACATGAAAAAGTACTGAAAAAAAAGGTGGGAAGAAAAAATACAGTTAAAACAAACATTTCCTTAAGTGGCATGCAATACTTCCATGTCTTCATCAACATTTATACTTCAGTAATTGCTAACATAAGCCTTTTTTATAAGATATATTCTAAACTCACAGCAGATAATACATTTTAACCAGCTACCTCATAAAGGCCTAACCATAGTGTAACACCCTCATTATAACGACAACAACAATCAAGAATTTGACAGATACAAAACAACAGTATTTACAAACCTAAACTTGGGGTAAATTAAACTTAACAGAGTTGAAAATAACTCGTTAAATAAAATATGAGGTGGAAATAAAAGCTAATATAAATGTTTATTAGGTGTTTTAAACTATTGAATTTTTTTTTTCTTAGTCAGCCTGTTTATTTTGTTTGATTTGGACAATTCAATTCTCTATTCAATCATATTTACAACTTCTAAATTCATTATTACGCTTTACAAGTTCTCCAGACGAATTGGCTGTTTTTATTGTTGAAACTTTTGTAAAAATTCATTCTCATTAAAGAAACCATAAAGAAAAAACAAGTTATTAAAGCAAACGTTTTAGCACATGTATACATTCTAACCCCCCAAACACACACACACACACCAAGAAGATAAATAAATGACAACAGAAAAAAGAAAAAAAAAAGGTCCTGAAATGAGCAGTTCTCACCATTTTGTGAACCATGTCTAGAAGCTCCTGCTTAGCTTGAGCAACACCTGCAGGATTTCCCTCAATCCTGATGATGTTGCTGTGTTCCGAGTCAGAGGGTATGTGAATGACGGCATTTGTTTCCTGCTTCAGTCGATTTACTACCAGAGAGATATCAATATGTAAAAGTAACTACTGACCAAACATAAAGTTTTATTAATAAAGGCTTAATTATCCTCCTGCTATCCTTAGCTTATACATTTAACATCACAACACAGTTGTGTGTACTGCATATAAAATAAGAAAAAAGTCAAATACAACTTTTGGTTGCCATAGGTTCAGTGCAACAGATGAATTCTGATACAAAACAAAAAAAAGACTTCTTGAGCAGTGGCTTATGGTAGACAAAAGATGGAGAAGAAAGTTTCTTTTAGGCCTCTAAATTTAAATCCATAACATAAGAAATTACTGGGGAATTTATAAAAAATAAAATAAAAATTTGTAATCAACTGTCATTATATCCTATTTGTTAGGCCTAATTATTTTTTACTACTATACCAAAGTTTTGTTAAAATTACCGAAAGTTGGTTACTTATGGATGGTTCACTGATCAAGGTTACATTCTTTGATTCCTACAGTTAGCACAAGGGTAGTTTATGTCTACTAGTTAATCATATAGAGAAAAACAGCGGTAATAATGAGAATGTGGGTAACCAGACTTTACTTTCACTGTTGTCCTCTTTGCATTAAATGTATCATACCAGTTTTTTTTTACAATAAAAGAATAGTATTATCAATCTAACTGTGCATAACCCTATTGGCACTATATTGATCATTTCTGCATTTACATTCATGAAATATTAATAACTTATAAATTGTAATATATCTTAACACAAACACTTCAGACATATAAAGCATAATGACCATTGAATATTTATAAAATAAAACTAAACTGATTTTTTTTTGTAAATAAACAATTTATAATTAAATAAAAATCATTCCATGACAAAGCTGTACTTTATTCCATTATGCAACATGTCCATAAGTCATTCATTTAAAAACTAAGTTTCACACACTTTTTATTAATTACACAATTGCAGGCCTAATAACATCATGCATCAGCCTACTTTGTTGAAATACAATTTCCAATATTTTTATGCATCAATAAAACCAATATCAATAGATAGTATTTACCTTACTAAATCTTCCTTATAAAAGTTACCACTGTGCTCCTTTTAAAAGTTATGTACAGTTGTTTCAAAAATCTTCTACAAACAGGACAAACTCTTTGTATATGTTCTTGGTCAATTTGATTGACCTTGTAGTCACCATATAACCATGAAACTATACATAACTCTGAATGTATTTGGTGTATCTTCACAAAATATGGCAAGCTTTTAGTGAACATCAGAAGTCTATCGTAAACAAAAAAATCAGATTTTTTAATAAAATATTTTTACTAAAGGCTTACAAAAAATGATTAGTCACACTCCGGGAAAAAAAATGATTTTAATTAAACCCAACGTTTTGGCTTAAGCCTTTCTCAAGGGTTACAGTGTAACATACAGACAAACTGATAATTGAAAAGAACACAAAACCTGATTATGCCGTAAAGTCTGCAAAGCATCTTTAGGCTATATCTTCATTTAATGATAAAAACCATAGTTTTTGGCTTTTCTTTGCATATAGACGCTTGATACATTAAGAATGACTGAAATAATAATTTGGGTAATAATTAATATGTATTTGTTACTTTATAGATTTAATAGATATTTGTTGTTACTTTATTAACATTTTTACGCTTATACTGTGAGGTAGAAATGG